CTCTTATCCCTTCAAAAAGACCCAGCTCGGGGGGCAAGGTCGAGTCAGCCTTTCTGAGCTCCAGCAACCGAAAGAGCAGACTACACGACCCTGAATAATATCATGTTTTTCTCCCTCAATAATTAGCCTTTTATGTTTATTTTATGCCCAAATGCACTCATAATTCTTACATTTTGGTTTAAGGCACGAAATGAGGCGTTAGGTGAGAAACAAGGCTAATCTGGTCATTTTACACAATTTCGGCGCCATGTGGTAGATGGAGCACAACTCTCTCATTCGGACTCCGATTGAGATGATTCATGATGCGTTGGAAAGATAAGGAAAAGTTATACAACTTTCCTGTTTTGAGTTTCAATAGATTCGGATTGCATCGATGCCAAAATCGGGCCTGAATTCTCTGCAACTGCACTTGTGACGTGTTGAAGACATTACTTAGCCTTGAAGCTTTCATCCGCGATTTCATCACTCTCCCACTCACACAAGAACATTGTTTTGCCTTATTTTTTAGTCTTTCCTACATTAGTCAGACTTGTAGATTGACTTAGAGGAATTTTAGGAGATTTTGTAGGCTTCTCTTGAGAGCAGCCGAACTTCTCTTCTCTTTGCCCCTCTTTTTCATTCTCTGATTTTCTTGGAGTTTTCACCATGACCATGAATGGCTAAAACTCTTGCACTTGGTCGAAGGAAGCAGAAGCCTCAGAATCCACCAGACTGTGAGATTTAATTTGGTTTTTATTGTTTAATTCAYGCTTTGGATATCGAATGTTCTTCTATGTTTATTTTTATGATTGTTTCGTTTGATTGCTCGGAAGGCCTACTAGTTTATTATTTGTTACAATCTATTGTTAGATTAGATATCAAATCCATAATTGTTTGATCTCTCTAATCTGCAAAGCAACTAGGGTTTAATGATTTGTTGCGTCAAAAATTGTTAGATCCTAGGAAGAACAGTCGACTAAATTAAATGCAACCGCTTGTGCTTGTGTTGTTTAGCTTCATCGATCTCTAATGTTTAATGTTATTGCTGGATTAAATCTTTAACACTTGTTAAGGGGTTCTTCAGTAGTAAGGGTTAAGAGGATTACGTGTTTTCCGATTAACTGATAGTAGGAAGATGCAGGAAATTAATTCCTATGATGAATATTCAAAGTCTGAATTGATTTATCTTTGCATCGATGAGCACTAGTGTAATTCTGATGGTGGATGTTAGCCTAGACCAAGATTTGTTCCTTGATTAATTTCAGCACTCGAAGTTACCTTAATTCTCATTTAAATTGCGTTCTTTATTAATTATGATTTTCCTTATTTTAAATCTGATTTTCGTTACATACACCCCCCATCTTTAATTCACGTAGCACATATTTTTGGGTGCCTACGACAACACGCCAGATGCCCCGTATGTAAAGTGGCCACCTCGGCTGAAGGCATATCCTAGTGTAAGAAATAAAAATTTGCATTGTAATTTCCATAAAGACCATGGTCATAGCACCGAAAATTGTAAAAACCTCCGTGACGAGATAGAGAAGTTCATCCGTCATGGATACTTGAGAAATTTTGTATAAAATAATAATAATAATAAAGCTTGGCAGGGGGAGCAGAATAGAGATGCTCCCGAATCCAGCAGGCAGGCAAAGCAACCGCAGAGGCAGCCCCCTAAAGAGAGACCAGTTCGGAGGACTATCCGCATGATCGTCGGAGCTTCGATTGTCGCGGGCTGCACTTCGGCTGCAGCTCGGACATCAGCTCGTGAGGCCATTAGGGAAGAGCAGAATCCCCCGAAGCGGCCAAGGACGGAAGACCCAATCTTCTTCATAGAGGATGATGCACGCGGAGTCCACTACCCCCATGATGATGCACTCGTCATATAGATAAAGATTAATGACTTTGAAGTCAGGCGTGTCCTCGTCAACTCTGGCAGCTCGACAGATATCCTTTTCAAATCAGCATTCGACTAGCTCCAGCTCCAAAAAGCGACCTGAAGCCTGCGAATACTCCCTTGGTAGGCTTCAGCGGAGAGGAAGTCAGGCCCTAGGAAGGATTACAGTACCTTTGGAAGTCTGCACCTGGCCTAGCATAGTGAAGCTCAACCACGACTTCTTAGTG